AGTAGAGACAGGGTTTCACCGTGGTCTCGATCTCCTGACCTTGTGATCCGCCCGCCTCAGCCTCCCAAAGTGCTGGGATTACAGGCGTGAGCCACTGCGCCTGGCCCCTGGCCTGCATTTCAAAGCCTCCCTAAGAGGGCTCTCTCAGCTCCCCAGTCTGAGTTTACTGCACCCTGCAACCCTGGCTGGGCTCCTCCTTCCTGTCTCTCTGTCCCACATCCCCCACAGCTGTCATGTCAGTTCTGTGTTTGTGTTGCAATCTGGGCCCAGGATGTCTTCTCTTTTCTTCTGCCTCTATCCACATCCAAAAAATGACGTTAAAGTTGCATAAACAAACCAGTTATGTATGTCACTATCAGTCAGAGAAAGGGTTTGTTGATGGCTTCTCAAATAAGAAAGGCTAATCTTAAAAAAGGATAGTCTTTTGAGTTGAAAAAAATTTAGTTTTTTTTTTTTAAGGAAGCTCAATAAATTCTCCTTTTCACACCTTTACTGAAAACCAATAAAAATTTCATAAAAGACCAGCTTCTAGGAACCTAATTGATGAATTTAGGAATTAGCCAATTGCTGTTTCCTTGGCATGCAGTTGGTTTGGGCATTTCCCCATATATTATCTTATTTTGTTGTTTGTTTTATGATTATATTTTCTTCCTTTCCAAATGACATTTGTGAGCAGCATCTGTGTCATCTTTTTTTAATGCTAGGCACACGTGTGTATGCAGCCCGAATGTTTGGAGTTGTGTTTTGTGTGTTGGATTGAGAGCACACAGAAGGGCTATGGCTGGGGAGCCATGATCAGCAGAGGAGGGCTTCCTGTGCTTCAAGGAAAGCCTCAGTGGTAGAAGACATGCAGTCTGTTTTTGATGAGGGCTTCAGGGGTTGAAACATAAGTGAAATAGTATCCTACAAAAGGCTTTGACCTATTGATAAATTAATTCAAGATCTTATCAGTTTATAAGGCAGTCATATAAAGAGATACAAAGTTTGGTATTTTTATAAGACACTAATTCTATTTAATTTAAGCTTGAGTCTTCATGGAAAACCTGAGATTCTTTACAGGCATGAGCCACTGTGCCCAGCCTTGAAAACCTGAGATTCTTGAACAGTGTTTTGACAAAGTTTTTTGATCACCTTGAAGTTCAACTGAGAGTTTTAAGTTAAATTATAATATTAGTTGTAATAATATTCTCTTTGTCATATGCCTATTGTGTTTGTAATAAAATAGCTATTCTAGAAACATGGGGGGGAAATGTCTCTTGATAACTTTAATTTTTGTTAGTTTGAAGGCATGCATAAGAATGAAGCCATAAGCCAACAGCTTCATGTTTTACGGAAAGAAGTGAAGCAGTTGCAAGCAGAAGCTGCTAAACCACCATCACTTAATATTGTGGAAGCTGCTGTACATGCAGAAAACTTGATCACGTAAGTTTTATGGGCATTATAATTTGAAATACTGTTTTGTTATCATGAATAGTAATCATACATGCTACTATACCACCACCACCCCTGTAGCACCCACAGATTAATTTAGTACGGACATCAGCAAACTATGGCCTTTGAATTAAATCTGGCCTGCTACTTATTTTTATAAATAAAGTTTTATTGGAACACAGCCATCCCCATTTATTTATAATTTCTGTGGCTTTTATGCTGCAACAGCAGGATTGAGTGGTTGTAACAGAGATATAAAGCAGAAAATATTAACTATCTGGCCCTATATAGAAAAAATTTGCTGACCCCTGAATTGTGACATGATACAGTGCATTGAAATTAAGTTGAGGAGAGATTTAGTGCTTATGTTTTATATCAAAGTCACATTTACCCAGTCAACTCAGATGACTGAACAAAGTTCATAGCACAATTATTTAGAGGAATCAGGGCTCTCAAGTGTGGTTGTGAACTTGCATTTGACCATTGTGGTTTTCTTTTGGCTTTCGTTGTGGCTTACTCTTACTGTCCTCTTTCTTTCCAAAGCCACCACGACATGACTTGGGAGGTGGCCTTGACTCTGCCCTTACTTTAAGGTGACTGACTCCACATTCTAGTTCCAGCAGCTGATCCCCTCAGTAGAGTAGGATGGTGTATGGAGGGGAGCACTGAGTCCTTTTGTGTGTTGGGCTGGGGCACCTGGGAAGGAGAAGGAGACCAGGCAAACAAGAAGTTGATGTTTCTTTTACTGGGAAAGGGACACAAAAAGGTGTGAGAATTGGAAGGGATATCTTTATTCTAGGGTCTTATTCTATACAGAAATCTTTATCTCAACTTTAGTCAGTGTTTTGGATTTTAAAATGTAGAGAAGTCAGGGTTTTGTGTTTAAAAAAATTATATAAAGATTATATAAAAAGTTAAATAACAAATTATGAATTACATGCAAACTATGAACATTTTTAATAAGGATGAGAATGTTCATTAGTCCTTATAGCTGATTTTTTTTCCCTAGGAGAATATGAAATCATTACTAAGTATTGGAAATTGGCCAGATGCAGTGGCTCATGCCTGTAATCCCAGCACTTTGGGAGGCCAAAGCGGGTGAATCACTTGAGGTCAGGAGTTTGACACAAGCCTGGCCAACATGGTGAAACCCCGTCTCTACTAAAAATACAAAATTGGCTGGGTGCAGTCGCTCATGCCTGTAATCCCAGCACTTTGGGAGGCTGAGGCGGGCAGATCACTTGAGGTCAGGAGTTCAAGACCAGCCTGGCCAACATGGCGAAACCCCATCTCTACAAAAATACAAAAAAATTAGCCAGGCATGATGGCGGGTTCCTGTAATCCCAGCTCCTTGGGAGGCTGAGGTGTTAGAATTGCTTGAACCCAGGAAGTGGATGTTGCAGTGAGCTGAGATTGTGCCGTTGCACTCCAGCCTGGGCGACAGAGTGAGACTCAGTCAAAAATAAATAAATTAATAAATAATAAAAGAAAATAAATAAAAGAAAACAAAAATACAAAAATTAGCCAGGTGTGGTGGCGTGTGCCTGTGATCCCAGCTACGCAGGAGAATCACTCGAACCCAGGAGGCAGAGGTTGCAGTGAGCCATGATCACGCCACTGCATTCCAGCCTGGACGACAGCATGAGACTCTGTCTCCAAAAAAAAAAAAAAGAAAGAAAAAGAAAAAGAAAAAATCAGTTGTCAATAAAATTGGAAGATAATATATTTACTCCATGAAATATTTTTAAAGTGACATTTTCGTGGGTGCTCTGAGGATTCTTAAGAATATTGCCTGAGAAACGTAGGGTGTCAAAGAAGGCCTTGTGAGTATGGAATCTTTTACTGTAGACCGCAGTCTTACCCACATTTTCCCACAGGGCCTTAGTGAATGCCTACAAGTTGCAGCCTACACCTGGGATTCAGAAAGTTGGCATTAGCCTTTTCTTTACTATTGTGGATTATGTCAGCGATGAGACGCAGCGTCATCCCCCAACAAGGCAGTTCTTTACTTCATGCATTGAGATCTTGGGACAGGTAAGGCTATTTGTACCTTTTGCCTTGATCAGATAATGAGTCTCTGCAGTGTCTTCATTAGAGATAGTCAGCATTGACTTCAGACTTACATTACAGGTTCAGAGTCTTACCCAAGTCAGAAGCCTCTTGGAGTTGTAGGCTTCTCAAGATATGATTAGAACTGTTGGTATAGAATTTTGCTTCTCATACAAGGGAGATTAAATTATTCGTATTTGAAAGTCTAGGGAGACATCAGAATTTGTCATATATCTTTGGTGTTCTTAACAATAACATTACTAAAGCTCTTCATTGTTTATAAAAATACTTTCCAGTTTGTTTATTTCATCCTCATGGGGAATCTGTGTGATTGAGATTCCCATCTTAAAGATGAGAAAACTAGGTTCTAGAAGATTAAGTGACTGGCCTAAAGAATTCAGTTGGTGAGTGTGGAGCTGAGACTGAATCCCAGGGCTTCTGACAACACTCAGTGCTTGCCCCACCTCCCCACTGCTGTGTCCTGGTTGCTAGCCTTGGTCAACATTTATTTGTTTATTTATTTATTTGGCTTACAATTACATAGATGGATATTTAACAAGGGCAAGGGTAATCATGCAGATTTATGAAATGTTTCATAAAAGAAAGGAAAATCTCTTGTTTGAATTATATAAACACTAATTAACCATGTACTGTCACCCAAATTCAACTGAATGAGTACTTATTTATTGGATGTTTATAAGGAAGTAATGCTGAACAGGTATTATCATCGATTTTTTTGTAGGAAGTTTTTTATCCTGATCATAAAATTAATGTGTGCTGGCCGGGCACAGTGGCTCACACTTGTAATCCCAGCACTTTGAGAGGCCGAGGCAGGCAGATCACCTGAGGTTGGGAGTTCGAGACCAGCCTGACCAACATGGAGAAACCCTGCCTCTACTAAAAATACAAAATTAACTGGGTGTGGTGGTGCATGCCTATAATCCCAGCTATTCAGGGGACTGAGGCAGGAGAATCTCTTGAACCCAGAAGGCGGAGGTTGCAGTGAGCCAAGATCATGCTGTTGCACTCCAGCCTGGGCAACGAGCAAAACTCCATCTCAAGAAAAAAAAATTAATGTGTGCTTATTATAAGCAATGCAGACAGTATAGAAAGTATGAAGAAGAAAAATTTCCTACAATCCTACCTACCTGGAGATACTGATTGCATAGTTAACATTTCATTATAGTTTGTCTTGTATATGTGTTTCTATTTGTAAACATGATATTTCATTTCTACATATATAGAGATATATAGATATAGATAGGCACTTAAAATGGGCTTATGCTATTTTGTAACCTCTTTTTTCATTTAAACACATCTTTTAGACATTATTTCATGTTAATAAATTCAGACTTATATCATGACGTTGCATGTCTGTAGTGTTCCTTGATACAGATTTATTACAGTGTGTTGAGCTAGTGTTTGATGGACAGATATTTAGGTAGATTGTTTTGCTAGAATAAGACTGAGGTAAATATTCTTGTATGTCTTTGTGAACTTGTCAGACTATTTTCTTTAGGATAATTTCTTAGAAGTATGATTGCTGTGTCAAAGGAATTTGATACACATTGTATATTTGACGTTTTACATCATACTTGATATAGTTACACTGCCTTCCCTGGGAAGTTTGCACCTATTTATGCTATCATTGCACTGTTTGAGTTTGTTATTCTTCGTACCATAACCAACATTAGGAATTCTCCTTCTTTTTAAGTTTTGCTAATCTGATAAGGGAGTGGTATTTCATTATTATTTTAATTTGTTCTTCTTTAAGTAATTGTTAAGTTATATGCCTTTTCATATGTTTATTGGCCATTTATATATACTTTTGTGAATTGCTGATTATGGTCCTTTGTACATTTTCTGTTGGAGTTTCTTGTTTTTTGATTGCTTTGAAAGAGCTCCTCACACTATTAACCTGGCATCTGGAATGTGTTATAAATACATTTTTTTAGTTTGTCATTTTTTTCTTTAATTTTATGATTATTTTTTATCTTATAGAAGTTAAAATTTTAATATATTCGAGCCTATCAGTCTTCTTCTTTTATTATTTTTGCCTTTGGTCAACCATATGAAAGCCTTCCTGCCGGTGAAATTGTTTCAATTTTTGCTTATATTCTAGTACTTTTTAATATTAGAACCAAGTTAAAACAAGATGATGTCATCTTGATTATATATTATTATGAAAGTTGGTTTTGAGAGGTATTAAATACACCTCTCAATAAAATCTATAACCTGGAAGTTTTGTTTTCCTGACGTAATGCAGCACCACGTTGGGGACATTGCACGTTTGTGGATTCAAAGTACCGCAATATTTTAATCTCTTAAAAATCTTGTAGTACGGTTAACTCATTTTATTTTATTTTATTTTATTTTATTTTATTTTATTTTATTTATTTTATTTTATTTTTTATTGAGATGGAGTCTGGCTCTGGAGTCGCCCAGGCTGGAGTGTGATGGCACGATGTCAGCTCACTGCAACCACCACCTCCCAGGTTCAAGCAATTCTCCTGCCTCAGCCCCCCAAGTAGCTGGGATTACAGGTGCCCACCACCACACCTGGCTAATTTTTGTAGTTTTAGTAGAGATGGGGTTTCACTATGTTGGTCAGGCTGGTCTGGAGCTCCTGCCCTCAGGTGATCCACCCGCCTCAGCCTCCCAAAGTGTTGGGATTACAGGCATGAGCCACTGCACCCGCCCTAACTCAGCATTTTCTATATGTGGCTTGTCCAAATCAGATTTATGGATTCTTCAGAATTTCTAATATTACCGACATTGGAAGCAATAGGCTTATCTATGTTGATTTTAGCTGTCTTTTGATTGTTTCAGACTTTCATTTAGAAAAAAATTCAATTCACCTTATTTGGTGCCCCTTAAAAATTTGCTTGCTTAAATAAAGGTTGTAAGGGAAGAATCTGGTGACATTTTTCCTTTTTATTTTTCCAAGGTGTTTATCAGTGGCACTACATCAGAGTGCAGAAAAGTACTTGAGACCATTCTGAAGAACAGCAGGCTCTGCTCCCTGCTGTCTCCTTTCTTTACTCCCAATGCTGCGCCCGCAGAGTTCATACAGCTGTATGAGAAAGTGGTCAAGTTTCTAAGTGAGGACAACAGTGATATGATTTTCATGCTGCTAACCAAGGTAAGATGTAATTCCATCCTCACCATATTGTTGAAACATAGCAATGATTGTCGCTTCCTACTCCACAGAAATAAAAGGACCTCTAAGTTTTGTTTCCAGGTACAGCAGAGGCTGAGAGGCCTTTTTCACAGTTTGCATAAGCTTCAAGCAGTCTGACCCCACAGCTGCTTCTTAGCGGGGTGGAGCGTTGGTTGTGTTATATAGCAGTGGTCTCCAACCTTTTTGGCACCAGGGACCTATTTTATGGAATACAGTTTTTCCAGGGACTGGAGTAGGGGGGATGGTTTTGGGATGAAACGGTTCCACCTCAGATCATCAGGCATTAGATGGAGCGTGCAACCTATATCCTTCACATGCACAGGTCACAATAGAGTTCGTGCTTCTATGAGGATCTAATGCCATGGCTCATCTGACAGGAGGTGGGGCTTGGGGACCCCTGTTGTATAGGGTAGTCTTATTCCACTTAGTGTAAAGAGGACCTAATTCCCATCCCTTTGTAAAACTTAATATAGTTTTGAAAATATTCATATTAGTTTAGTATATTCTTTTTTAAAATTTATCTTGAATTTATGCCTAAATTGTGTTTGACAAAAGTTTGATTAGTCTCATATCTAGAATAAGCTGGATCTAAGCAAATTGCCTTTGATCGCATTCTGAATATTAACTCTGTTAATATTATTAGATTTCATATTAATATATAACATTAGAATATTAACTTTTAGACCTAGGTAATGAGTTTACTTAACCAGTTGAGAATTTCAGAGTCTTAACTACTTTACCTCCACTTGTATTTCTCTTACATCTATGAATCAACAAAACCTTGGCAGTTTTGGTCAGGTACGGTGGCTCATGTGTGTAATCCCAGCACTTTGGGAGGCCAAGGCATGAAGATTGCTTGAGTGTAGGAGTTTGAGACCAGTCTTGCCAAAACAGAGACCCTGTCTCTACAAAAAAAACAAAAACAAAAACAAAAAACCCAAGTTAGTGGTACTCCCAGCTACTTGGGAGGCTGAGGTGGGAGAATTGCTTATGCCCTGGAGGTTGAGGCTGCAGTGAGCGGTGACTGCACCACTGCACTCCAGCCTGGGTGATGGAGTGAGATCTGTTGTGAAAAAAAAAAGACAAAAAACCTTGACAATTTTAGGGCCTAGAGATTGATCTCAGCCTATAATGGAGGAGAACATGTTTTATAGTTTGGGATTTGGGAAGGGAATATCAACAGTCTGAATTTTATTAACTGAGACAGGTAACTGATGCAGACCCAGAAACAAGGCTGTTAAATTGAGACAGTTTCATAAAGTGGCTGCTCATTTGTGGCATTGTCACCAGTGAAGGAGAGCTACGAAGTTCTGATCCAGGTCTTGGAGAGGAAACTTATTATAAGACAGAAATATATGAGTCTCTGAGGAACAGTATAAAATTATAAGCCAATAATGAATCATCAGTAAGATTTTTAAATTGCAAGAAAAGCACACAGAGCTAAGAAAACTGCCTCTGAGATTCTAGATAGTAACATAGAAATAGATGCATAATGGCACCAATTAGTGAACTACTTTTTTTTTTTTTTTTTTGAGACGGAGTTTTGCTTTTGTTGCCCAGGCTGGAGTGCAATGGCGCGATCTCGGCTCACTGCAACCTCCGCTTCCCAGGTTCAAGCAATTCTCCTGTCTTAGCCTCCTGAATAGCCAGGATTACAGGCATGCACCACCATGCCTGGCTAATTTTGTGTTTTTGGTAGAGACGAGGTTTCTCCATGTTGGTCAGGCTGGTCTTGATCTCCTGATATCAGGTGATCTGCCTGCCTCAGCCTCCCAAAGTGCTGGGATTATAGGTGTGAGCCACCGCACCTGGCTCAATTAATGAACTTTTTGTATTCTTTTATGTACTTCTTTTTTTATTATTTATTTATTTATTTTGCAATTAGCTTCCTCTGGTTGAATCTTTTATGTACCTGTTTATACATTTTAGTTTCAATTTTTATAAAATGCTGGGTAATTTTTGGCCTTTAAACTAAATTTACACAGATTTCTCTCCTCTTAAACTATTTTTCTAGTGTAAATAAAATGACTTTTTGTTTCTTTTTCTTTTTAGTTCGATCTTAAACAATGGTTAAGCACCACTAAACCTCCTCTGTCTGATCGTACCAGGCTTCTGGAGTCCATTCACTTGGCACTTACTGCCTGGGGCCTTGAACCAGATGAGGATATTTTGATGCCATTTAATCTTTTCTGTAAGCACTGGACTTATCTTCTTCTCTACCAGTTTCCTGACCAGTACAGTGACATTCTCAGGCTGCTGATGCAAAGTAAGTGTCTTCATTTAATTGTAACTAACTAGATCTTAGTGAATATTCAATATCACATTTTTTCATTTTGCAGATGTCATTCAAAGGTATGAAAGTAATACCAGTATAGGAGTTTAGAATCACTGATTGTCATCTAAAGGGCTTGATGAACAAGGCCCAAAAAATTGTTACTGTAAATATGGCCAGTTATTGTTCTAAAGGTGAGAATGGGCTCTAATTTGGGCAAGGCAGCACCTAGAATTTGGTGGAGTCCACAGTCATGTAACTACTTCTTTGCCTTGACTTTTCAGCTGTCTTGAAGTGGGGTGGGGAAGGACCAGGTTACTCTGCAGTTGACAGATCTGGCAAAGCAGGGAGCTTGTGCCTTATGACATTTTGGGAGTTTTTCCTTTCTAATTTTTTTACTCTTGTTTTTTGCAAATTAATTTTATCCATATATAATGATAGACTTTATTTATATTTACTAAGGGAAAGAGCAGCATTACAATCTCCACATTCCTGCCACTTCTGTTGTCCTCTTCTTACAATTTTCCATGGCAGTTTTAGAGCTTAGAGGAGAAATAAATAGGGTAGGCTTTTTTATTTTTGGAGTTTTACTAGGCAGTAATTTTATTAAAATTTGATAAATGAGATAGTATTTACTTTTTTCATGCAAACTTCATACCATTTATATTTGTAGTAGAAAAAGAAATTTTGCTTTATACCAAATTTTTGTGTTACATAATAGAAATTGTTTGATGGATAAGTTAATGATCCAGTGTATTGGGTTACCCAAAGGGCCCTGAAATGTGTAGTCTCTCATTTTCAGAACACTTCAAGCTTTCATTGTTTCCTACAGAGGCAGGTTGCAGGGTGGGTGGAGAATGTTGGAAGGGAAATTCATTTCTACAAATTTCAATGAATATGTGCATAGCTAATTTTTGCTCTAAGCTTTTAAAGTTTGATATAGTGTGTGTTGTGGATTTTTCCCTGAAATCTTTTAAAGAGATTGTAAACCATTTATACTAGACCACTATTGACTTGAATTTAGTAGGAAATTTATTCTTACCAAGATAAGTAATTCGGACTTAAGAATAACAATACGATACCTCTCAGATGTCATGAGCTGCTGCCTCCTGGTTTCTTTCTCCTCCCTGGCTACCATGTTGATGTTGCCTTGGGAGCATCCTTTGCTCTTCTACTGCATTCATTCCCTCTGGATGAGCCCATTGTTTTCCCTGATGTCACTGCCGTCTTCTAGGCATGTGTGATTTCTACAGTGCTAGCTTAATTTCGGGGCGCTGTCCTAAGATCCAGACCCCAGTGGCCACTGGGCACAGACTGGTCACTGTCCCCCAGGTACCTCACACTGGACATAATGCAGCTGGTCTCACCATCATTCTCCTCAGACCTGCTCCGTGAACCTGTTATCTTACTTGATTCTCATGTTCACTCTGGATGGAAAGTACTTTAGGAGATATTACTCCTGTCCTGTGGGATGCGAAATTATTAAGTACCAGAATTGGAACTAGTTCAGAATACGGGCTGCTGGACTTGCCCAGCTCTTCCATGCTGCCTCTGAGTCTTGGTTTTGGGGAATTTGGGGGCTGGTAGGAGACCCCTTCCGGAGAGCCCACGCCCTGAGTTGCCTTCAGCACGTAGTCTCCATTGTCCTGTCACTGTTGTTTCTGTCACACTCATAGATAGCTGTGGTCCCTCAGCCAGGAGAGGGGCACTGGCACCATTCCCCAGCCGCCAGGGTCGGAGGGTCAGGTCTCCCACCCCTCTGAGTGTAGCTTCAGCAGCGCTTACTCCCAGCAGCGTCACCAGGAACCAGGAAAACCCTATGTGCGGGCAGCCAGTTCTTCTCTTAGGTTCTCTTTACTTGGGCCTCCTCACTCCAGATACCCCTGTGAGTTTGTTTTGGATTTTGGTTTAATTTCTATTACTTTGTAAGGTACTGGTATTCTTTGTTACAAGTTAAAACATTTCTTTTGGGAAAGCCGCTGACTTGCTCTTCCTGTCCCTGCTGGCAGGCTCCGCGGAGCAGCTGCTGAGCCCCGAGTGTTGGAAAGCGACTCTGAGAGCCCTGGGCTGCTGCGCCCCCAGCTGCCAGCAGGGGGCAGCGTCCGCCGAGGGCGCCGTGCTTCCCAGCTCTTCCGATGCTCTCTTGTCAGACAAGCAGGTGTGTAGCTTTTGGTCTCTGACGTGTTTGTGCATTTCTTTTTTATTTCTCTTGCTATTTATTTTTTAAACAGTTGGAAAACTTTTGTGCGTTATTTTTAAGAGCCATGTGTTTTTCTTGTTAAGTGCTTTGCTTCCCTCATGTCCCCTTTGTCCAGGTGGCTCACTCCATTCCCCTGAGTCTAATTCTTGCCCATGTGTCTGAGACAAGGGCAGGCACTCCCCTGTAGACCTTTCCTGCCCACCCTAGCCCATTGGCCTCCACCCTGAGACCACTGCTCGGGTTTCTATGATGCGGTGTCCCATGGAGTTCTCGGTTTTATCCATTCTGTTTGATATGGGTTTGCATGAGAATTTATTTGAAATAATGGTTCCACTGCTTTAGAAAAGGTTTGATTGAAACCCATTGTTGGCCGGGTGTGGTGGCTCATGCCTGTAACCCCAGCACTTTGGGAGGCCAAGGTGGGAGGATCACTTGAGGCCAAGGATTCAAGACCAGCCTGAGAAACATGGTGAAACCGTGTCTCTGCTAAAGAATACAAAAATGAGCTGGGCATGGTCAGGAGGCTGAGGCAGGAGAATCGCTTGAACCCAGGAGGCAGAGGTTGTGTTGAGCCAAGATCATGCCCCTGCACTCCAGTCTAGGTGACAGAGCGAGACTCCACCTCAAAAAAAAAAAAAAAAAAAAAAAAAAACAAACAACCACACCTCAAAAAAAAAAAAAAAAAAAAAAAAAAGAAACCCATGGATTTA